ATCACCTTCCGCCGCGGCAAATGGGAGAGACAAAGGGGGAGAGAGAGATGGTTCTCAGAGGGAGGGGGAGAGCACGCGAGGAGAGAAACAGAGAGAGAGAGAGAGAGAGGGGGGGGAGAGAGAATGAGAGAGTTAGCTGGTAGGGGAATTGTTACCCGAAGTTTAAACTTGGTTGTCGACTGCCGTTAACAAGGTTTGCCATGGGGCTGGTTCAGTAGTGTCTAGGTCTCGGGGTGTGCCACATCTCGCGCCCATGTTCATTCCGGCGTCTTGGCTTCGTCATCGAAAGTACCGTGTATTTGTCGCGTCTCGCTCTTTTCGACCTTTGCTCGAAAGGTCGAAGACGTTCTACGTCGCTGACGGTGCACGTTCGCGTCGTCGTCACCGGTGAACTAGTTCCGAAGCGGCTAGTGACGCTGCTCGTTGTGTTTTTTATCTGGTGTATCAGTCGCTCGATTGGTACGAGCGTGGAAGAGTCAGAGATTGAATCGATGGAGGAGACACGGTTACGCACGTCGATGGCCCTGACAGATTTTAGACGTAAGTGTCTGTTTCTCTTTTGGCATCTAAAGAGAGTGGAAGCAAAGCGATGCTATTTTTGTGAATCGTGTTTTTGAAATTGGTTTTTCACATCGGGGTGAAGAAACTTATCACTCGGAATGAAAGGGAGTTTAGAATTAAGATTCTGATCCTTAGTAATGTAATAAAAAGAAGACGATCGATATCATTTACAATTTTTAAAATTTATACTGTTTGTGTATCGATGAAAATGTCTATTAGATTCCAACTGCAGTTTCTGGTACTTTTTCTAATTGTTCAATGTAAATTTATTCATTATTTGTAACGCTTAATCTTTACACTTTACACTTGGAGTCTTCAACAGGAGGCAAATTGTAAAATGAGAGGTTTAAATGTATTTTTGAAGAAAATTAAATAAATTAAAATAAATTTAAGTCCATTATTGAACAATCGTTGGTACGCGATGGTCCACAAGTTTGGGAAACATTTGGCAATCTGATTTCGGAGGCAGGTTCCCTTTCGATGACACCGGTCCAAACCGTCGGATACCTTCGAATCGGGTAGCTCTCCCTTCTGAGAAGTGAGGGTCGCCGTGGAGAGCGTCCGAAGATTACAGAACGCGCGGGGGGTTGAATTTAGGCGGAAGAATCGTAGTGAAGCAACCGGCGACGGGTGAAAACTCACCCCCTGCGTGTCCGTTGATTATATCGATTCGAGGCCTACCTAACGGAATTACGTTCAGAGTGGCCCTAACCTCGCTCAACCTTAAAGACACCGGCTAAGGTCGTCCGATATTTTCTACGACCTAAAATTGAAGCTCCTGAATGACGGACAGGATAAAAGAGAAATGGCTTGAGGCAATTTTATAAAGTGGAATTACATTTAACAGATTGACGATGGTCACCGGTGACTGGTGTTTGTGGTTCCGTAAATAACACAGAATAATACCATTTAATAGTTTAGTTACTGATTGAATAATTTAATATCAAAAAACGAGATATATATTTTTTCAATTCACTTTTATTGTAACGTAATATTTTACGAAAATTAAATATTTCGTTTTATGAGCATAATGTGTAAATTTTGCGTGAATTGAATTAATACAATATGCGACTGAGTTCGCGAAAGTTCAAATATCAATTTCAAACTTTCCATCATTACGTGATTAACAAAAAACTTACGGTTAATCTCCGTTGGAAGAAAGACATTCATATTACAATAAGCTACATTCTCGCTACAAGCTATATAATTTGTTTTGCGAACAAATTTTTCACAACATAGGCAGTTGTTACTTGAAAATAAAGATATTACGATTGGTAGAGTGATTGTAGTGTAGCGAGTGGTTTGATAAATCGTTTCATTTTCTTCGTCAGGCTGTGTTTTGCACGACATCGCGACTCAATGGTAGTAATTTCTCTTTCATTATTTTCAAATTACCTTTGTTCGCGGGAACGATGGGAGTTAAATATGATTTCACTAACAGACAGACGTAAAAGTGTCTTTTGCAAATTTGTTTCTACGATTTATATTCTGATGGCTCGTTCGGTTAATTAATCGAAACCATACAATTAAAATATAAAAATTCCACACATCGTACAAACTGAACGTTTCACTTTTACCTCGTGATATCGATTCAGTTACACGGATTTCAACGATGAACTTTTTAACACAGATGGAACCTATATTTACGCATATTTCCCGATAGAGAAATCCACCATCGTATTTCATTAAATTCCCTTTCGCTCTCGTTTCCTACCGACTAATTACAACGCGCCCTTTATCTCTCAACTTCATAATCAGGGGATATGATAATTTGGGCTTATGTTACTTGATTTTGAAATCTTTTATTCCATTGTGTCTTGTTAATCTTGGCGAACCTTGGAAAACGTAAAACACAAAGTGAAACTAAACAGCCAAAGATATTAGCAATCTAATACATGAAATACTGCAGTCAATTATTACCCAATGATGTAGTATTTGAGGGTTAATTAACTGCTGCAGTTCAAGTGAATCTAAACAGATGAACTAAACAGTTGTATTCTTTCAAATAGTCTATACTCTTCTTGTCCTCAGGCTCTACCTCTTATTCTACATCATAAATATTCTTTCTGCCCTATTACTCCTAATCAGTCTCTCTACAAAATTAACAAAACTCACATTCTAAATGACTGTGCCCGGATCCACCCACTTTGCACACTGTCCTATAGCCTTCGAAATTTTTCTAATTTCTCAGTAATATCTAATCACCTAAAATTCACATTTCCTGGAAGATTATCCGCCTCGTTCGTTTCGTATCCTCGAATCATAATCTCGCGTCAACCGCCATAGCGTCGCGTCGGTCCGTTATCCCGGCGAGTATTAGCTGCTGCAAGCTATCGGCCGTTCGCACGATAGCGTGATCCAATTTGTCGAAGAATGCGCTATCGCGGCCAACTGCGAGACGGCGGGACGTAAGAAGAGGAGGCAAAACGCGGTAGGACGCGAGTCAACGGGAGGGGGAGGGGAGGACGAACATGGGGTAGTTTAAATGGGGTGGGACGGAAGGACGTCGGGAGACGAGAAGTCGAGGGGGCAGGCAATTAATACGACGCGGAGGCATGCACGTCGGCTGGCAACGGCGAAGGAACGGTTCGCTTCATTAGGGCCCGAAGGTAGGGCGGAAGGGTTGATTTTTAGCTTGGAAACCCTCCCACTGCCGCCTCATTGGTTTCCAATTATCGAAATGCCGTCGCCTTAAGGCATCCTCGCCGCGCTGCCTGTCCGTCTCCTGTCCCGGATGCCTTCCCCACCGAGCGTTCGTCGTAAATGTGCCGTAATTTATAGTCGAAACGTGCGAATCGTTTATTCCGCTCGGAGTACCACGGCTATTCGGCGATGGAAGCGGTATGTCCGGTTGAAACGATCGAGACGAGCAAGTCCAGCCGCAAGTTTGCTACCGTTGCTATCCGACGTCGGAATAACGACAGCAATTTCACACTCTTTCACGAAATTATCAACTTGAATCATCGAACTTGATACTGATTGATGCTGATGTTCAAACAACACATCTTCTGACAGGAAATCTCCTAACTTAGAGGGAAAAAAAAGAACGTCGAGCCAAGACTTGATTTAATCTTCTTTCTATCTTAATCTTAATCTTGCGCTGGAATAACGTGCCACGCAGAATTTTTTGTCCCAAATTGCAACATTTTCTCAGGTTTAAGTATATTTAAATGTAACCCAGGCAAAACAAATGATAAGTTTATTACTTTTTAATAATTTCTATCATACCGACGAGTTCAAAAGGAGAAGAAAGCGACGAATTATTGTAGACGGTTCGGTCACACGTTATGGCCCGTGAATCAATTGCCAGCGCAAGTGGTTAAAAACTAACTACGTTCGATTAGAACTCGTTCCTCAGTGATTTCAATAAAAAGCAAACGATCGCGAAGCGTAACGGGAGAAAAGAAGCGCAGCTCGGAAGCGAAAGAAGGGTGGATTTGGGCGGCAGTTTGCCGAAGCGTGTAGCGATTTCGCACGGGCGAAACGCAACGGAGAGAAAGAGAGACAGAGAGATTCGGAAGCGGGTGAAATGCCTATCGAGCGTGAAGCGTCGGTCGGCGAACGGGGGAGCTCTTTCGTTTTAGAATTTTGAAAATGCGAGCCGGGCGTGTAGGGTGTTCCACGACGTGACGCCAGATCCTGGGAAATATAAAGGCCGGGGATCCAAGCTGGCGATGGTTCTCCGGGAGAACCAGTAGAAATCCTGCAATCCCCACGACACACACTAGCTTCCGCACCTGTTTTCCGGTGCATCGAAAAAGAGGCGGGCGTTCTTACGCGCGCCGACGGACAGAGCGAGCTGGTGCGAACCAGAAGAAGAAGAAGAGAACCGGCTAGAAGGTAGAGCTTGGTAGAAGAGAAGGAGGTTGAGGTGGCGGCTGCAGAGCAGGAGAAAGAGGAGGAGGAGGCGGATGAGGTGGATGACGAGGAGCAACGGCGCGGCGGCAGTAAGAGGAGAGACGAGAGTAGGAGAAGGAGGAGGATGACGACGACGACGACGACGACGACGACGACGAGAAGGAACGAGGAGTGTGAGGAGGAGTATGAGGAGAGGAAGAGGTGCAAGAGGCAGAGCACAGGAGGAGGGGGCGGAGGAGGTGGAGGTGGAGGACGACGACGAGGATGAAGAGGAGCAGGAGGAACAGTAGGAGGTGGAGGAGGAGAGGGATGGCCGGGGTGAAAGCAAGCGGGGGTGGTCCAATCAGAGGCGAGTACGGGTGGGGCAGAATACCTCCGCCCTCTCCCTCAGCAACGTTACCTCCTGTAACTCTCCTCCTCATCCCTCTTTCTCCACGAGGTTGGAATCACCGCCACTTCCAACCAGCACCACCACTATCCACCTTCTTCCTCCTACTCCACCTCCACCTCCACCTCCTACGTAAGCTCTGGTCTCTCCTCCTCTCTGAAGCCCCCGCGGCTCCTGGCGGCTACCCAAGACAAGTGCCCGCGAGAGATTCTCACGGCATGACTGGGGATCGTTACGTACGACCGACGGCGAGGATATCCACGGCCGAGGATTTCCACGACGATTTCCGCGCGAGTACGCGTTACCAAGCCATCATCCACGATACGCACGCAATAATGCTGTCCGCCGCACCCGTCGTCCTGGACCCACCAACGATTGCGCCCACCTGGATGCGACCGATCGTCCGACGTGATTGAACGACCGCCGCACGTCCGCCGCCACGTACACACAGAGACACATTCGCAGCCAGAGCGGAACACGGCGATGATTCTACCGATCACGCGATCGTCAGTAAGTAGGCGCAACGTTTTCATCCTCACCCCCTTCTTGCGTTTGGTCCCCGCGATTCACCTCGTTGTGTAACAATCTCTTCGTAATTACGGGTGTGTACATTGGTGACAGACAAATTACGATTCGCATTTCGAAAAATCACTCGCACCTTTCAAGTGACAAGGAACGCAAACGTAGGAACGCTAAACGAACGCGTATGAATTTGATCGAAGTAGTAGATGGTATCGTTGATCCGCCGTGCACCCTATAAACGGAAGCAAAGGTTGCTTTCCTGCCGATGAGAAATAAATTCGGGGATGATCGTACGTGGAATCGAAGGAGAAAGGGGGGAAAATAGTGTCGGGTGTACGGTCGGATAAACACCTGTGCGCGAGATAGGAATGGAGTAATCGGGAAAGGGGACGCGGATGGAAAAAGATAAAGAGACTGTAGCAGTGGGGTGTGCTCGACCAAAACGCGGATGATTCGATCCTTTCTGAACCATTTCACTCGATTTGCCTCGGTGAAATATCGCCGGCCGACTCGCGGCCAACTGCCACCATACGTGTACGCGTGTGCTTCGAATTCTCGTTCGTTTACGTTTCTCCGAAACTGTGCTGTTTGTCTGAACACGGTCGGACACTTCTACTGCTTCTGCTTCACTGTACCGACAGATTCCTGACGTTTGTCGCGTCGTAACAGAACTTTCCTTGTTTTGTATTCTACTCTCCCTCGTTTCCTTAAATAAGAAGAAATTTTTGTGTTCTACAAAGTGCAGTTGAAACAAAACGAATCTCAACGTTAGATCGACAAGTTGTCGAATATCGAGGCAATTTTGCTTTTGCGTTCGTTGCGAGATTTATTGTGATGGATTGTCGGTTTTTCTTTGGAAGTTAGGTTTCGGTGGAATCTATTCGATGGATGGATGAAACGTTTTCACGAAGTTAGATACGCGTCACGTAGAAAGACAAAATGGATAGTACGTGAAAGTAGGGCGATGAGATTATCTTGGCCAATAAAGCGAATGGTTCGGAATGACTGCAATTATTTCGTGGCGCGTGTTGCTGGTGCCGATTGGACGAAACTGTTTCGCGATCAAGAGAGATAAAGACCTCGAGGGTACGCGCGAACCTATGGTGGACCTATCGTGTATTACCGTAAACGAGATAATGTCCGCTCGCTTAGAAATTCTCGCGAGAGTGGAGTACACGCGTAAAATGGGAGAACGTTTATCTGGAAATAAATTAATTGCCTGACGATCGAGATCATTTCCGTGGAATTCAAAAAAATGACAGAAATAACATTTAATTTCCAATTGCAGGAATTATAGGTTGTAAAATTATTTTTAAAAGAATCGGTTTTTTTTCGAAAACTAATATACAGGAAGTAGTACAATTTTCAATTGTCAAGTACGATATTTATATTCTTCTTATTGCAGGCCATTTTTATGGCCTCGCAACAAACGCCACAGCCACCATCCACCGTGAGATAACGCGTGTGGTGGTCTAGCTCATGGGAGGAGGCAACTCTCGCCGCGTTATATCATTTATATTTAAGAGGGAGGACGAAAGTTTGCTAACAACATGGCCGACGCGTCTCTGAGCTTTTCCACTCGCCACTCTGTGCTTTCATCGTCTGGCAAGGACGACCTTTATTCTATTCTCGGCGGTTCCATGGCGCTGAGAACCGCCCACTTGCAAACCCATCCTGTGAAGCAATTTTGTGAGGAAAAATGAGACGCGAGAGTGGCCGCACCGGCCATTACGCGGATGCTCGCAGATTCACCTCGACACATGCCCGCTTCCAGAAACTTCAACCGCGCAGCTTTTTCTATGTAGGACAGAATTAATACAATATTCTTCTGAGAGTTGACGTCGATTCGTTAGAGAATGCTTCTCCTTCCCCAGGTAACCGTCTTTCGCCACGCGATATTTTCCATTTGACCTTTTAAAAAAATTTTGCAGCTCTCGTAGATTCTCGGAGAAGGAAAATTATTTTAGCATTATTCGGCGAAATTTTCGATGATATTGAATTTATTATTCGCAATATTTAATCTAGGTTCTCGTGCTCTTCTTCGCAATTGAAATGTCAATTATCCTACAAATAATATGATTTTTACTTTCTGAAAGTAAAGCTTAAAATTGGAGTTATATTACTGTTTCAAATCCAAGTTTAAGAAACTGAATTGTTTATTTCCGACACGTTTTGCAATAAATATAAAAATTGTTGAAGAAATGTAGCATTCTCGAACCTTTTAAATTTCGATTATAAAAAGAGATTATAATTATTTTCAAACTTTCTCGATGCCCACAAGTACTCGTAGTTCAGCGAGATTGCGAGTGCATAAAAACACATACGAAACGGCAGTGCGTTCCCTCGACAAAGACACAGCGAAAAAGATCACTCGTATTTATCCAGTTCGTGAAATAGCGTAGGGGAAGAGGGCGGGCGGGAAATCAGAAAGGTTGTCAGCCAAATGCGAGTTAACAAGTTCGCGATCGACATGGCCGCGTCAAGCACGTCAAGCTGTTTAAGCACGCAGTCACGCGAAAGCACGACCGCGAAACACGCGAGCCACGTCGTCGAGGGATTTCCACGCGTTCGACCGCGTGTGGATCTGTCGTTCGGTTTATCGGCGTGCACGAACACCGGCCGAGATCGAAAAAGTGGATACAGTCAGTCGTCGTCGATAATAATAAACGAAACGGGGAACACGCGCGAGAAGACCGCGGGCAATGACGAATGGTAGAATGGCCGATACAGAAAGTGAAGCAAAGAGAGAGAGAGAGAGAGAGACAGAGAGAGAGAGAGAGAACAGACGAACAGATAGAGAGAAAGGGAGAGGCGAAACATGCGAATCAAATCAATGAATCGAAGGAGAAAGTGATAGCGCCTCGCTGTTTTGTGAATGAAAGCGTGCAGAACCGACGTTAATGTACTCTTCGCCACTCATTGATCGTCTGTCGCATTGTGGCCATTGTCGCGCGTTCATGTCGTAGCAATTAATACATACTCATTAGCCGCGTGCTCTAATGCAATCGCCAACGAACGTTTAATCGTTGCAACCAACGAATATTGTAGAAAATCCTTCCAATGGATAATAGTTTAGGATTCGTACTATGTCGAACAAGAGCAGGAGCTTTTGTTTCTCGGTCATGGATTTTAAAATATACAGGGCGTTTGATATAGTGCAGTGGTACAAGGTGTGATTCTACATGCAAGAATAAAAAAAAAAGGATAACATTCATTATTAAACGCCTTTTGAGCTTGATACTTGACACTTGAATACTCGTGTCTAGGTAATTTCGAATTGGAAAATCAAAGCCTCGTTTAGTTAGACTTGGCGCACGTGTATCTACCCTGTCGACTTATTTGTCATTTTCGATTTACTTTTTAAACGGTTGTACTATGATTTTAAGGATAATGCTTTACGTTTTCTTATGTTGGACTTCTTGGTGCTTCAATAACTATAAGCCGACTGTATCGGAATTTTTTGGCAATTCGACGCAACGCGTATAAGAATTCCTACTTTCTTTTTTAACGATAGCTCTGCCAAGTCCGGTATCATTCTCGAGGAACCATAATATTACCACGATTCTCTCCACGCATAAGCTGCACCGGCCTTACTGCAATCCTCCACCACCGTTGGTTGTTTCCAAATCTATTCTGTTCCTCTGTGAACACCGGCGGCGAAGATCAGGGCACAGAGGGGGGCGAAAAAGCGGGAAGAATGGAGCGGAGCGGGCGAGCAGAACCAGAGCCAGCGGAAACTTTTCCCGTGCAAAGTACCACGCGGACTGGCTCGAGGTTATGAAATTCTGATGGCTCATAAAATGTAAGAAAATTTACAGACTTCGCCCCTCCGCGCTCTGCGTCTTTCTCTTCGTCTTTCTCTCCTCTGGCCTGGGTCTACTCGCAGTCGTCGGCCTTCTTGCCGGTCGTGCTTCGTTTCTCCTTCGTTTCTCGTTCGTTTCGCGGTGCCGCCGCCGGCTTTGCGAACTCGATAGAAGAACCGGCTGGAGGGCGCAAAAGGGGACGTCGGCGTAAAGTTTAAAACTCGTGGCAATCGATTAGGAACCTAGGAGGAGAAAAGACCCGCGCCTCGTTGTTTCTCTTCGACTTGAACACCTTTTTTTTTTTCTCGAGTTCGCGCGGGACTCGTTTCGTTAACTCGTGCCGTTGTGAACACGATAACGTTGCCACTTAATGGAAGGAGATACCGATTTCGTGGATTTTAACTACCCAGACCAGAGCCAAACGAGCGTCTCTGGCCACGGGTAATGAATTTCTCTCTGTATGAACGACGGTATATAGCAGTTGCGGGATGTGTCTTTCGAGAGCCAAAATCTTTCTATCGTTGCCCTTTGTCTGATATCGGTGAGTACAGTCTTCGAATATTGGCAACCATCGGTAGAGTGTCTTTAGATCGGTAACGGGCACGAAGTTTCAAATGGAGATTTAAAGCGCGCGGTGATTTAAATGGCAATTTCGCCGCCACGTTTTTAGTTTCACACGACTACCAAAAGAGATTTAGAAGGTTAGAGGTTCATTAGAATTCAATTTTTCTCGTTCGCATCTTTGAGTTGAAATAAAGTTCCTGCTCTGGGAACACGACGCCAAACGTTGGAATCGCCGAGGGCCCGTTTCGCTCGTTTTCTCCCCAATCAAAATCTTCTCGTGTCGACCAACGTCGAGAAGGGGTTAATTAACAGCAGCCAAATGAATAAGACTTGATCAGTGGAAATTACGCGAGGAGCGGCACAAAGGACGATGGCCGAACTATTTTCGTCTATTATCGGAACTTCTCGAATCACAGACCCCTTCCTTGTATACACTCTTTCAAGCAGTCTAGACGTTTTGTGAAGCTGCAGGCATTGACGAGACGATCGTCCGGACTATTAGATGCCTGGGCGGAGAGAACAATTTCAATCACCTCCCTTCCCCCCATGTCGATCAGAATTTTCGCTTGAAACAACTTCACTTTGGCAATCGAAATTTTCAATATTAAAAATTTTGAAGCC